TACACAAAAAACGTAAACAATTACAAACGATAGCATAACGGTATCACGTATGTGATTATGCATTGCGCTGAAACGAAGTAAATTTCAAAAACAAAGACTCAAACACAAAAAATATAAAATGTGGCATACAAAACACAAATACGATATAAAGAAATGCAAAAATTACCACATGCATAAAAAAAACACAAAATAACAACAAACCGCTACTGAAGACAAGATGCCAAACGTAACCCACGTTCGTACTTTTTTTAGATGGCGCAGGCAGCTTTTTTCCCACCTAGAAATTGCGTGGTTGCTCTCTCAAAAATGTATGTATCGTCGGAAGTTGTATATACAGGGTGGAACCTCTCAAGTTGATTAGGGAATTGAAAGTGAGAAGCAAGAAACAACGAGTATGCAGAGTATGCAGAACGGAAGGGTGTAGATGGGTATCTAAAAAATAACAGAAATTTATGGTAGAGGAGAGAAAGAGAAAAATAATAAACAGTAATAAAACAGGTATCAATGGAAAAGGGCAGACAAGAGAGCACCTGACGAGGGAGAATATTAGTAATTAAAACAAAGAAAGAATGGAGAATAACGGAAACATGGTGGGTGGTAGAGGAGAGCATTACACATACACGACAGGAAGAGCGAGATCGGTATTTACATTATACACAAAATGAATAAATGAAAAGGAATAGAAAGAACAATAACAAAGTTGAATCACTAGTCTGTGTAGGTAATCTTAAAATTGAAAATGTGAAAAACAAGCACTTTAACGTTAAAAAAGATATAGACAGATAATAAACGATTGGAAAGGAAGGAAGGGAAGTGAAAGGGTGTAGAAAGAAGAAGGAAAATATTAGAAATGCAATAACATTGAAACAGGATACAGGAGAGAGGAAAGGAAATAATAGATGAAAGAGAAAAATAGATGCATCAGGACAAGGCCCCGAACGGCTCTCGTTACCCCCAAAAAAGAAAGAATGGGGAAGAGAGATAAACAAGAGTTGAGATAACACAAAAGAAGGTACAAACAACATGTAAAGAAGAAAACATGAATAGACCCAAAGAATATGAAGAAAAAATTAAGGAGATCAAAGAGAGGAGTTGAGAAAATATAGAAAGATGGGGAAAAAATAGAAATGTAGGATTTGGCGAAGCGCTTAGTCAAGGGAATATAAACCCAAGCAAAACCGAAGAATGCCCCAAAATGGACAAGGAGAAGAAGAAAATAACATAAGGAACGAGAAAAGGTATCAAGAAAAGAGGACAAACGACAAATAAGGAGGCTCATGGACGATAAGACGGCAGAGAAAGATTGCTGGCAACATGAGTCATACATATACGTTACAGAGATTGAGAAAACAAAGGCCGGAGAGAACGGAAAACCTTTGGAAATTACAAGACGAAACTCAAATGTTCACTTTATATGGTGCCCTTATGGACACTTCATGGCTTCAAGAATCAAAATTCAAACTTCAAAATTTGAGTTGTGATGTCCATGGTTAAACATTCGGGCTTGAAAATTCAAGCTTCGGGATTTGGTGCTTAAATTTGCACTTCGAGGCATCAGGCCTCAGTCTCCAAGTTTCAAACGTTCAAATCTACGCTTCAAGGTAAGTGACGCTTCGAGGTTTAAGCTTTAAATACAAGCTTCAAGGTGTCGAACTTAAAATTTATAGTTAAAAGTTCAAGCTACAGACTTGAAGTTTCAAGTTTTCACGTTCAGGCTGTAAGCTTCAGTATTAAAGCAACGGTTCCAAACGTCAAGCATCCGGGTCTTCTCATATTCTAGACTAAAAGTTGTAAATTTGTTAATTAACGTACGGTTTCACCCAAAAATATAGTTGCCTTGTATATATGTGGTCTGTAATGATCGGACGTTTCGCTACACTTTCGAATCTCGGTAACAATAGGCTAGGACGGACATGACATTCTTCTGTTGGGACGTGAAAATTGAATTAAACACCACAGAATGAACTGTTACTCGAATAAAATACTTAACAAAAAATATTGAGACATAATCGCCTGTACCTGGACGTTATAAACAAAAAAAAAACATGAATCAGTCACACGATTTAAATTTTTTGCGGGTTAAAATTCCACTATTGATCGAATTTATTGCAATAGTTTTTAAACCGGAAATTTCCCCCTGTAAATTAAGCTCACACAAACTTTATGTCACGGGTTTAAACTCCCACTACTATTGGGATTTACTGGTATAGTTTCTAACTCGTAATTTTACGCGTTTGATTTATACGCCCTCTAGGTTATTAGAGTACCACACAAAAATATAACACACCCTACGATACAAATGAACTTCACTGGCTGGACACGATTTCATCATGCGATTAACATTGGTGCTTAGCTTAAATTCGCTCGCGGCTCTACGTGAATTTTTCTAACACCATTCAAACACACCCTGCGTTCAAAGGTTCTTAACACAAATCAGCTCGCGGTTTAACGCACAATGACCAATACTATGCCGAACCTGTGTCAGGTCAAGGTCGCTCGTGACCTGGTGGTAATGTAGGAAAGTAGGTCAAGGTGAAGATTAGAGGTCGCGTGTCACATGGCGATGACCTTGGAAGATGGGTCAACGTGATGATCAAGGACAATAACTTACAAGGCCATCGGAGGTCAATGGCCCAATTTTTGTGTATTATCATATTTCAGTTAGCAAAGGTCGACGACTCCATTTTTACTCACATTAAAGGTCAGTGACCCGATTTTTGTAATGTCACATTTTATTTCATTTTCAAGGTCAATGGCACTATTTTGCGGTTTACTTCATTTTCAAGATTATCAAAGTTTAATAACCAACATTTTTCTGCTGTACTTTTTCATTTTTAAAGTGATCAAAGATCAACACCTTTTTAGCGCATTTTCCAAAAGGAAAATGTACGCTATTGTCCGCACTTTGTTAGTCTGTCCGTGTGTACCACTCCTAGTCCTCCAGTTTAAGCATATTCTTTGGGTTTCTACTACTACTATATACTATACTATGCCTTCGTCGGCCGCGAGTGACCACTTCTATTCCAGATTATGTCATCATGATTTATTTTCAAGGCTATTAAAGTTGAATAATCTCATTTTTTGCGTTTTCGTGTTCTATTTTCAAGGTGATCAGTGGTCAATAACCCCATTTGTTGCTGTGGAAAACTTTCATGATTATTCAAGGTCAATGGCCTCAGTTTTCCCTGTGTCGATTTTTATAACCAAGGTCACCCAAAGTCAATGACCACTTTTTTGCGGTCACATTTCATTGTAGTATTTGTTACGGCGTCAAATTTTATTTCGAAGTCATCCAAGGTCAATGGCCCCATTTGATCATTAAATGAACTACAGGTCAAACGCACGTTATTAAGGCACAAAGCGCGTCCGTGTACATGTATAATTCAGTCAAGCGGCGTCTTTCTTTTATTAAAGGTGGATTTCTCGGATTAAAATCGTAATATATTGTGAAAACGGTTTAAAAATTGTAGTAAACTTAAAATATCGAAAAAGTACAAGGTGTTGGAAATGAATGTGATTAATGATTTCACATGCATTTACAAAATCAAGACCGTATGCAGGAACCAACCGCCCTTTACAACTTGCATAATGCAATAGAAATTTTTTGTTATTCCTATCTTCGCTTTGATAACCGCGTCATTTAATTGTCCATATTTAAACTAATTCTGCTTTTGTAACTATTAAAAACGCGCAGAGGAGATGTACATCTCCATAGATGTTTCACATCTCCCTGGCTTACTGTGCGCTTTGCTATTTATATTAGGTCAGAATGGAACCAACGCAATTTTTTTAATTGTCGCCCCCATTAAACCGATTTCAAATCAGTCAATGAGGTGCCCTGTTGCCTCGGTAATTGACCCAAGCGTTTTTAACGGGTAGGTAGGGTTGGCGCTGCTTTTCTCAAACCAGCTCACATAATAAAAACTTAAAAATCTTCTACAGCGATAGAACAATTTAATGACATGCGATAGCTTACAACCCTAAAGAAGCAAAATAATGATTCATTATTACGCTAAACAGTTACGGAAGTTGTTTCATGATTAACGAATCCATGATATCAGATCTGGTGCATGACCACGTGATGCAATTTCAGCAAATGGCGGCTTCTTATTAGCAGATGTGTCAAAAGTTTTTGGCAGCCGATAGATTTGCAGGTCAAGCATCTCCCAAATTAAACTGGTCCGTTAAATTGAGTACTTGAACTTAAAACTTGAATCCAAAATCAGAAGTTGAAATTATAACTGGAAATTAAAACCCAAAAAGAAAATTAAAGATAAGCCTCTTCGTTGATAACCTTTAAATAAGAGGACTAATTATAGATGAATGTGCAACAATCGTCGAGGGAGGATTGTATAGCAAATATCAGGCAACCTAAAGTAAAATACACTTCAAGTAGATGTAAATACAAATGGCGAGTACACCACTTTTCTGTTTCACTGAAGCAATTTACGACTATTGACCCAGATCCAATTAATCCTGTCATTTTACCATAATTTGTTTAAGTAATATTTTGTGGATCGTCTCATGCTAATGTTCGGCCTACAAGAATTCTCGGGGGAAAAGTTTCGAGTATGATAATTCAAACAAGGGAACTGTACACGAAGCCAAGGCTAAACAAATTATGCCGAAATGAATTATTTACATTTCGAAACTCTATACTTTCCATTGAAACAAAGTGCAAGCACTTAAGTAATTGTGTCCTTCCTTTTTGTATCCTTCCGTTATACAGCGAAACTGCGTGAAAAACATCAATACCATTAAATTACCAACATCGTCCGTCCCATTCGCGTTGTTCAAGTGGACCCTTGCAATTTTATTCATTCTATATCTACGTTCTCGACCGCTGAATACTAAACAAAAGCATCCCTATCGATTTTTGCCAATTTTAGACACTCAAACGTAGATGGCAAACGGACGAACAATACGAGATATGAATCGTAATTGTAGTCACATAAAAAAAAAGCCTCACAAAATACTGAATTGTTTTCTTTTCTTCCTAGGCCGATATTCAGCATACGGCGCTAAGCTATGAATCAGAAGATGAAAATATGGGTCGGCTCCATTCTCGAGGTAGACGTGGAACTCCATTGTACAGCAAGCAGGACATCCGCGAACAATACTGCATATCAGATCGGGGGTTGGGAGCTCTCGAAGCTGACCGACGTAGCTTATTCAGTTGTTTATCTACACACCAAAATTCGCCGTGCTCAACGAAAGCGTCGATACTTACCGTTTGCGTAAAACAGAAAATTCCGTCGGACGAAAACATTCACGACCTTCTCAAGAGATATCCGTTCGAATATGCGTCGTATCATAGGAGAGCGAGGTAAGAATTTTTATTTCAGTGGAAAGTGGGTGAAGGGGGCACTTTCAATTAATCGATTTCACCTTTACGCGGATGGGTGTTGAATAGGTATTTACATTGGAACGAAGGAAAATATTTATTTATAGTGGGATTCTGTATTGAAAATATACAAGCCTAAATCAATACTACAAATATGTTTCCTTTCGAGTCCAAAGGCAACAGATACTGTAAATACAAGTTTATCACGTAAAAAAGTCAAGCATCAATTGATATCGAATAGAAAATTGCAAGATATCCGACTATGTAGCTCAGTGATCTACTGCATAGCTGGAGGTCGGGTGTTCGAACCTGGGCTGAGGTAAGAACTTTTTACCTCAGACAGAGATGGAAATTTCCTTTCAGAACAAGAGAGGGATAATAAATAAATAAATAAAGCAAAACGAATTAGTAAGTGCCTCTTCTACGTCATTGCAGATAGGTAAAACAAACATGCTGCTTGTATCTAACATATAAGCCTTTAAGGTCTATCAAAATGAAATTTTTGGATCAGAAACTTGCAATTCCGTCGGTTTAGTAGAAATACATTTTTGGGAAAAACATTTATCTCACAGTCTAAATAAACTTTTTGCCCTAAAACTGCTTTTACATAGAACAAATTCAGAATTTCTTTTTTAGTTGTATGATTTTCTAAAACCTCTACTTTTGATCTCACTTTCTGGTGGTTGGAGGAAATCACAAAAGGATTGACATAATAGAAGACAATTTCCTCGAATTGCTCAAAAATATTTTCGGACACAAAGGTCGAACCGAGCTTGAAGCTTTAATTTTTGAATTTTGGCACCTCAAAATAACAGTTTTACTTCACTAAATTCTTCCCGTTTAGTCCGTAAGCCATTGTTATTTTTGGAGCGGTTCATTTATATCACCCATCTACAATCATAACACAGAAGAGTTCGTTGAAGGTGACGTAACATTCATACTTCAACACTTCCTAGCACTTGTAACTGTCTGCCAACGCACCCGGTTCATGCATTGACCGAGGATCCTTCTCTTTCTTATTTTTGTATAACCTTTCTGCTTGACGGATGTTAGTGATCTCTTCTTTACCCCCCTTTCTCTACCCTTCCTTGACGCGAACTCTTAAATTATCCCCCGGAAAAAGAACTCGCTGGCCAATACAATCAATATGGGGAAAAGGTCTATTCAACAAAACACTGCCTTGGTTCAGCAAAATCAAACGCTGAATATCGTGCGAACGTTCTCTTTCTAACGAAAATGCGTCACGAGTGAAATGTTATAGATGTCATGAATTCGGACATCGCTAGTCGAATTGTCCAAGCTGATTTTTTAGCTTGATCCCCCGTTATTCGCATTCGCCATAGAAAATCGCCAAGGAAATTTGGGATAGTCTTCACAAAGCATTTGAAGGTTCTGGATTAAGTAGGAAAGTTGGTCTTCTACGAAAGCTTATAACAAAGCTTGAGAATTGCTCATCAATGGAGGAATTTGTAAACATAATCGAAGTAACTGCAACTAAACTAAGCCGCGTTGGTTGGGCAGTTAAGGAACAATGGATTGGATTGGATTGGATGGATTGAACAATGGATTGAACAATGGATTGAACAATGGATTGAACAGTGGATTGAACAATGAATTGAACAATGGATCGAACAATGTATTGAACAATGGATTGAATAATGGATTGAACAATGAATTGAACAATGATTGAGGACATGAACTTTGGGATGTACAAGTAAACTTCAGTGAGAATCAAGCAGCTACATTTGTTGGGTGACTTCAAGAAAACCGTCAATGTTATAGATGTAATGAATTCGAACATATCAAGTCGAATTGTCCTAATAATGGGTTCGACAAGAACAAACCTAACGGCAATAACATGTTATTTGTTCTATAACGGCGTTGAAGTGTCCAGACAAAGAATGGATTTTTTATTCTTGCGCAACTTTACACATGTGCAAGAACATTAATCTCTTCGAGAATGTCCCATGAGGGAAATTTTGTGGATCGGTTCAAGGTACTTACTTGTTTAGGTATTTATTGAAATGCAAAAGTTTCGTTCCAAACAAAATTGAACACGTTAAGAATATGGCAGAAAAACAAACGGGTTACCAAATGAAAATTCTACGAACAGACAATATGGTTCGAAGTTTTGTAATCTGCACCATATACTCCTGATAAGAATGGCTTGATGAAAAGGGTGAACAAGACCTTAATAGAAAAAGCGAGATACAAGCTGATTCATTCCAATTAAGGGAAGAAGTATGGAGCCGAAGCTGTAGATTCTGCGTTGTATTTGGTGAATCGTTTACCATGTAAAGGATTAAAAAGAAAAAAAGACACCTGAAGAAGTTTGGTCGGAGCGGAAACCACATGTGCAACATTTGAAAGTTTTTGGATGCAAAGCAGTTATTCATTCTCCAAAAAAAAAGAACCAGCAAGATGTGGTTTCAGAAACGGCTACTGTTACTGTCACAGGTGTTATTCCTAAAACATAATTTTTTTGTGAATTTTTAATTTCAAAATTGCATCTTCCGTCGATCTTCCTTCCCTAAATCCAAACTGTTTATTTGATAAAATTTTGTTCTTTTTCAAATAATTATTCAATCTATCATTTAATAATTTTTCCAATATTTTTCCTAAACAGCACAACAACATTATTGGTCTATAACTTTTTATGTTTAAAGGATCTTTTCCTTCACCTGGTTTTTTTAATAATTATTAAGTCACTTCTTTCAACACTGGAAAATATCCAAATTTCAAACAGGAATTATATAAAATTTTTAATTTTTTTCTAATAAAAGGATAAATTTTTTTTATAATTTCGTTGTTTATTAAGTCAGGACCAGGAGCTTTTTCATCTTTTTGTTTGTATACTGCATTAGAAAGTTCACTATGAGTAAATTTTTCGAAATTATCGCAATTTTGAATTTCAGTTTCTAAAAATTTTCTTTTTAGTTCGTTTTTATATTTTAATTTTAATTCTAATTTTTGATCTAAATATTTATTAGTCTGATACAATTTTCTAATTCTCATCACTTCTTTTCTTTTGTTTGTTACATTTTCATTCCACCAAAAATGATATCTCTTTTTACTATATTTGATTTTAGGTATTGACTCGTTACATATGTTTTGAATATTATTTGTTAATTTAAGAATATGCGTCTCCAAAAAAACAAATCTGGCTGACTGCCCGTAATTTAGCGTACATGTACACATTTTCTTACCGTCGCGAAAACGAGTAGCAGCAGCTGTCTCCAGTATTTAAGGAAACACCACTCCCACCGGTATGAAACGCACATTCTTCTTACGATAAATTGTACGACCCGTCTCTATGGCGTTTTACGCGAACCTTCAGGGCCGCACCCTTAGGTACTGCGACGCTGTTCTTAATAGGTTCTGATATTCCAGGGTTGACAAGTTGTGCTTACCCTTTCTTTATGGAAAAGAGTCGATTCAGTGCGGACCAAGGGGCATTGAGACTTAAAATGCAGTGAAAACTGAAATACAGGGACGAAATTCTGTTGAATGTGTCACGGGCGGTCTCCATAAGATTTTAAGTGACAACTGGTACAGTAACAGAATTGCGGACGCTCAAACTGAGAGGCTGAGGATCATCTTGAAAGCAGCTCGCTTTCTTAGTTAAGAAATACCTACTCTAAATCATATGAGATTTCTTAGGTTGTTCAGCTGCGCCAGATATGTCAGGAGGTGGACAGGACTTAGTCCCCGCATCTCTTCAATTATTTCTAGAGGAACTCTTGCTCAGAAGCTTATTACGGCACATTCGCCCCTCAATAAACCAGCCCACAGGACAAATTCGCGCCTCAAACCAGTTGACCCGTGAAAAATACTCTTACAAAAATAATCAACACTTTGCCCTTTTGTGGGAATCTCACATTCTATTCTGAAAACTTCGGACCTAAATTTTCTCGTTACACTCAAGAAATTTATCTTTTAGGGTTTTTCATCCCATGAAAATTAGTCCCGCGCAAGTTACCTTTGAAGTTTGCCCCCAAAAATTCCTATAGCACTGGAAGCGCTGTATTTGAAAAAATAAATAGTTTGCTTCATTGTCTTTGAAAATGCTGTTAATTCGGAACGTTATCGTAACATTTTGCAAGGTTTTTAAATGGGTACAAATATCTTTTGTTTTTTAGAGTAGGCCTATCGCACAAATACTCCCAAAAATGAGTAAACAGCGAAGTCGAAAACATTGCTAAGTGCAATGGCATGCGATTACAACGCCACCCACAAAATTAAAATTTCTCAATTTGAGAGAGACTTCCGAAAATCTCAAAGAATTTATTACACACATTTTGACTAATACCCGAAATAAATCTTGGGCACGAATAGAAAAATCTGACATGAAAACTCTATTTGGGTTTCACTTTGGATTCAAATCAACACATAATTAATTGAATGACAAAGACAAAAATTCATTCTGAAACACATGAAAGAATTACAAGTTAAAAAGTAATCGTAAACGATTTACATAAAGCGCATTTCCACTTGCATTCATTTCCCATTTGTAAGATGCAACATCTGTTAAAATCGTAAAAATCCGGCCACAAATATGAAAGATAGCGTTGCACATGGGCAATCCATTATTGACGTGCTACTTCAATTTCAGTTTATGAGAAGAATTTCATTTCAATGCTTTTCTAAATAAGAAAGTTGGAACTGCGCATGCGCAAACCAAAATTTTAAAACTAATGTTAGATTTTCCTTTGTTCCAAGCGCCTAAGTATCAAATTTTACTTAAATGGTTCCATAGATAAAAAAAGTTGGCACTGCGCATGCGCAAAATAAAATTTTGAAACTGGCGCTAGATTTTCCTTTATTCCAAGTGCCTATGTATCAAATTTCATTTAAATTCTTCCATGAATAAAAAAGTTGGCACTGCGCATGCGCAAAACCAAATTTTGAAATTGGCGTTTGATTTTCCTTTATCCCAAGTGCCTATGTATCAAATTTCGTTTAAATTCTCCCATAAATAAAAAAGTT